ACTGAAGCCTGGCGCCTCAGGTCTCCAGCGAAGCAGGCGCTGCAGGGAATTCACAAACACCTACGGTAACCAGGGCAGCTGGAGGCGCGGCGGCGCAGAAAGGCGCTGGCGCGCATGCGCGCAGGACGCAGCGTTAGAGGAGCGGAGCCGAGAGGCGGGCACCTAGTTCCCGCGGTGCGGAGGCGCACACGAGATTTGGCGGCTCCCTGCGAAAAGGTAGCTTGCCTTCGACCCCTGGGTAAGGCAAGCATTGGCAGGGCCCCGCCCCTTCAGGGGAGGGGCGTTGCCCCACCGATCTCAAAACTTGCGCGGGAACGAGCAGAGCCACCTTGGAGTGCAGGCTAAAAACGTAAACTGCAAAGCCACACCCCTAGGTATTTAGACTCTGATTCCTAGGGTAGAGCCCCACTAAATCCGCATTTTCAACAACCTCTCTCGGTGATTTTGGCTGCAGGCGGTGTATGGCCCGCCCTTTGCAAAACCGTGGTGCAGAGGTTACCTGGCTAGTGATTTTTTCTTTGGGAGGAAGCCGAGACTCAGGTTTTTAAGATTTCCGCTCCACCTGAAGCGAAGCTCCAGACTGTGAAGCCTAGAGCGGTATAGTTGCTCATTTCAGGGCTGGGAGAACGGGACCACAGGTTATGTAGACGTAAGACCCACACCACACCTGCGTTTTTTGCCACGTGAGGTGCGCGGTTGCCATGAGACTACAAAGTGCAAAGCGGTATCAGCTGTATTCAGCTTTCCTAGATTGGGGGCCGCTTTCTACAATTCTGTATCGTAGTTTAAAAATTGCAGGAGTTGAAGGTATGAGACAGGAGGCGTGCATCAAATTCTTGATTTGAATTTAATTTTTTCTTTCTAGTTTGTTGCAAACAACTATTACACTTAGCCCAACCTAGAATACACGTGTAGAGAATCAACAATAACCTAGAAAATTATTGACTATTAAAGCATTTGGATTTTATTATAATTAGTGGGCAACAACTTTATGTGTCAAAAATTATTTATGTACAGGAACTTTATTAATATTAATTGCCTGAGCACTAAAAAAATGAATATCTGTTACTAAAATGTAACTGTAAATTAAAGGAGGAGGGCTTTCTGTTCTTGACATATTCAAACTGGACAGGACAATTTTAACTGGAGCTACTCTCCTAACCCTGTTTGTCAGTTATTGTAAGTTGGCCAAGGGACATACATGATCATAAATTCTTAAAATTATATTAAAGTATAATTCTATAACCTGCAGACCTAACAGTTGATGTATTTTTCCTAGTCGTTTCAATGCCTCGTTTTTATTACATATATGGAACTATCATTTATTGAAGGATTACTAAATATCCTTCAATATTTATCCTTCAAAACCAAACAACATTTCATTGTGCTTCCCACCATGCAGGCACAGAGAAGTTAAGTGATTTGCTCAGGGTAAAACAGCTGGAATTTAAAACCTGCTATTTACATCTCAGATATGATGTCAAAGCCCAATTTTAACTTCAGAACAGCAATATCTGCTTCCATTCCCCCGTTCAGCATTTCCCTAAACATTAACAGTAATAATTTATAGGCAACTCTGACCTCCTATTGCATAGATACATCATGATTTACTTTCCTGTTTGCCTGCTATCAGCCAGATGTGTATGTATTACTATTGTAAATAATCCTGTGATTAACATTTATACCAAGATCGGTCCTGTAATTTGGACAATTACGTTATTGTCAAGTTATTTAAAAATAAATAGGGAAATACATACAAACACAAAACAAGCAAGCAGCAGTTGGCAGTACTCTTCTGATTTCAATTTCTTAGCTTTCATATAGAATAAACAAGTACAATAATATAGACTGGAGGAGAACAAAGGCCGTACTGAAATACAACAGGGGAGAGTCACAGAAGGAGAGGTGACAACAGAAGCAAAGCCAAGAGGGAAATCGTCAGATGTTATGCTGTGGAAGAATGCAGGTAGCCTTTAAAATGGAAAAGGTTGACTCCCCTTCCCACCTACTCCAAAGTATCCAGGAGTTTCTGAAGAGATTATGTCAATTATCCTACATAATAAAAGGGTAATATGCAAATAGGCCAAATGGCGGAATGACCGGTCGCTATGATGCACACTGACCACCAGGAGGCAGACGCTAAACGCAGGGGCTGCCCTCTGGTGGTCAGTGCGCATCCACAGGGGGAGCACCGCTCAGCCACAAGCCAAGCTGACTGCTAGTGAGCGGCCCTAAGCTGTCAGTCAGACATCCTCTGAGGCTCCTGGACTGCGAAAGGGCACAGGCTGGGATGAGGGAAAGCTCCCCGCCACCCAGTGCATGAATGTTATGCACCGGGCCTCTAGTAGAAATGAAGTTGCTATATATTCTATTTTTTTAAGAATTTTTTTTAAAGCAACCAAAGGACTACATTTTATCAAAAAAAATAGCTCAGTAGAGAACAAAATTATGAAAATATTGATTTTAAATATTTTTCTAAAAAGAAATACAATAAAGACAACGTAAAACAGCATTTGAAAGCAGAACTCACGTTGCTCAACATTAGCAAGCAAGGAGAAACCAAGATGGCGGCATAGGTTAATGCCGGAGTTTGCTGCCTCGAACAACCACTTCAAAAATACAACTAAAAGACGGAACGGACATCATCCAGAACCACAGGAAGGCTGGCTGAGTGGAAGTTCTACAACTAGGAGGAA